ATGCCGATGCGAAGGCCGGTGCCGCCGCCGATGCCGCCGCCGCCGCACCCGCCGCGCCAGTGGCCCCCGCTGTGCGCCACTGGTACCGGCGAGAGCCTGGGACGCCGCGCGCGCGCCGCGCCGCAGCAGACGTGTTCGGCGAGGGCATCGCCGTCGTCGAGGAGACGTGCTTCAACGTCGGCTTGCGCCCGGGCGCGGCTCTCACCGAGCAGGGTGAGAGGACACTCGAATGGCTCTTAGCGGAGACGTTCGAGCCGGATAGCCTCGCCGTGACCTCGGCCCTGAAGGGCCAGGTCTTTGAGGTCGGCCCGCGCTTGAACTTTCAGACGGCGTGGTCGGCGAATGCGGTCTCCATCTTTCATGCTTGTGGAGTGCCAGAAGTTGTCAGAGTCGAGCGATCTAGACGTTACTTGATGCAAGGGGGGGCCGCGGACTTAATGCCTGCGTTTGTGGCATTGGTGCATGATCGCATGACCGAGTGCGTGTACGAGGGGACTTTGAACTCGTTTGAGACCGGCGTGAGCAAAGAGATGAGCTATGAGATTGATGTCTTGGGCGGGGGCGCCGACGCATTAGAGAGGCTGAGTGAGGAGCAAGGCCTGGGCTTTGATGACCAGGATGTCAAATATTATGTCGACTTGTTCAAGGGGATGGGGCGAAACCCGACCAACGTTGAGTTGTTTGACTTGGCGCAGAGTAATAGCGAGCATTCGAGGCATTGGTTCTTCAAGGGCAACCTTGTCATTGATGGCAAACCCGCGCCACACCATTTGCTAGATGTTGTGCAGCAGACGCTGAAGAGCAACGGCAGTAACTCAGTCGTGGCGTTCGCGGACAACTCATCGACTATACGCGGCGGCGCCGTCCGCACGCTGCTGCCGCAGCGACCGGGGAGGGCAACTTTAATGGAGATGAAGGAGCGCGATCGTGACATCCTCTTCACGGCGGAGACACACAACTTTCCATCAGGCGTCGCCCCATTTCCGGGCGCGGAGACCGGGACAGGGGGGAGGATTCGCGACACAGCGGCTACGGGGATCGGCAGTCTTGTCGTCGCGGGCACGGCTGGGTATGCCGTAGGAAATTTGAATATTCCCGGCAACGAGATGCCGTGGGAAGAGGAGCCGTTCTTGTACCCGGATAACCTTGCGTCTCCGTTGCAGATTTTGATCAATGCGAGTAATGGCGCGAGCGATTACGGGAATAAGTTTGGGGAGCCGGTGATCAATGGCTTTGCAAGGTCATATGGTGTGCGGTTTGAGAATGGGGAGAGGAGGGAGTTTGTCAAGCCCATCATGTTTTCAGGCGGGATGGGGCAGATGGATCACGCGCATGCCAGGAAAGGAGAAGCCGAAGTTGGTCTACTCGTTGTCAAGGTTGGGGGGCCGGCTTACCGAATTGGAATGGGTGGCGGAGCGGCTTCTAGCATGATGCAAGGGGATAACAAGTCGGAGCTAGACTTTAATGCTGTACAACGGGGTGATGCGGAGATGGCGCAAAAAGTATATAGGGTGCTTCGTGCATGCGTAGAGATGGGGTCGGACAACCCGATTGTTTCGATACATGATCAAGGGGCCGGCGGAAACTGCAATGTTGTCAAGGAACTCATCTATCCCGCTGGAGCGACTATAGACATCCGCAAAGTATGGGTCGGAGATACCACTCTCTCAGCACTGGAAATATGGGGTGCCGAATACCAGGAGCAGTTTGGATTACTCTTGCAGCCCGACGACGAAATGGTCTTTAGGGCGATTTGCGCTCGGGAGAAAGTTGTGCCTGTCGTCCTTGGGACGGTTGACGGATCTGGCCGCATTGTTCTCTGGGACAAGGCCGAGAAGAAGGCCGTGGTCGATATGGATCTTGAACAAGTTTTGGGTGACCTGCCGCAAAAGACCTTTGTCGACTCCCGAATGTCTTTCAAGGGGTCACCAATACTTCCTCAACTAATCGCCGAGAACGTCGGCTCTTTGCTGGACCGCGTTCTTTCTCTGATGAGTGTTGGATCCAAGAGGTTTCTCACAAACAAAGTGGATCGAAGCGTCACCGGGCTGATTGCTCAACAACAATGTGTAGGTCCACTTCAAATTCCATTGTCGGACTACGCCGTTACTGCACAGTCTCATTTTGAACTGAAAGGCTCAGCCACGAGTATAGGCGAGAGACCCAGTATCACTTCGCTATCTCCAGGAGCCATGGCGCGCATATGCGTGGGAGAAATGATGACAAACATTGCGGGCGTGAAGCTCACTGATCGAAAAGATATCAAGTGTGAAGCAAACTGGATGTGGGCGGCAAAGCTTCCAGGAGACTGCGCTTCTCTGTACGATGCAGCAGTCGCGATGCGGGATATTATGATCGATTTAGGCGTTGCTGTCGATGGAGGAAAAGATTCGCTATCCATGGCAGCAAAGTGTCCGACAAGCGAAGGTCAAACAGAGACAGTCCGAGCTCCAGGGACATTGGTGGTGACCGGCTACTCGACAGTCGAAAACATTAAATCCAAGCTCACTCCTGATATCAAAGCTCCTGGTACAAGCTTTCTACTCCACGTTGACATAGCTCAGGGAAAGCGGAGACTAGGAGGTAGCTCTCTGGCCCAGGTCTTCGGTCGAGTCGGAGACAACCCACCAGACGTGGACGACGTGAGTGTCCTTTGCAAGGCATTTGACTTGGTCCAAGAGATGATCCAAGAGCCTGGGGTGCTCTCATATCATGATGTCAGCGACGGCGGCTTGTTGTGCACAGTCTTGGAGATGGGCTTTGCTGGAAACTGTGGCATGGACATCGGAATAAGCTCGACATCACTTGGCGTGGACTACACGTCAGCCTTGTTTGCCGAAGAGCTTGGCATGGTTCTTGAAGTGGAAGCACACTTGGTGTCCAAAACCACGGGTTTGTTCACAGGTGCTGGAATTCCGTGCCACATTATTGGCCGTACAAGGGCTGATGCCCAAGTCACTATTACCGATGGCGATCACACGCTTCTCAAGAGTGACATCCGCGACTTGCGAGACAGGTGGGAGAGCACCTCCTTCGCCCTAGAAAGATTACAGGCAGATGTTGCATGCGTTTCCCAAGAACAAGAACGACTTCGACATCGAACGGGTCCCTATTATGAAGCCCCCTGGACTCCTGCTGCCACTTCAGAAGATGTCCTCAAGCGCAAGTACAAACCGAAAGTAGCCATTGTGCGAGAAGAAGGATCCAACGGCGATCGCGAAATGAGCACGGCGTTTCACATGGCTGGGTTCGAAGCATGGGATATTTCTGTGAGAGATATTGCGGTAAATTCCGTGAACCTATCTGAATTCCGAGGGATTGCTTTCGTTGGAGGTTTCTCGTTTGCAGACGTACTTGATTCAGCGAAAGGCTGGGCAGGAGTCGTGCGCTTCAATGACACGGTCCAATCACAGGTTGAGGAGTTCTATGAGCGAGATGACACATTTTCTCTCGGCATTTGCAACGGTTGTCAACTAATGGCCTTGCTCGGAAGAGTTCCATTCTCGCCGCAGGAGGTGAGCGGGACTTCTCAACCGCGGTTCATACACAACGATTCCGGTAGATACGAATCCAGGTTTTCAACTGTCAAGATCGCAGATGACTCTCCGGCTATTATGTTCAAGGACATGGCGGGAGCGCAACTAGGAGTTTGGGTGGCGCACGGGGAAGGAAAAGCTTTCTTCCCGGATACCGAAGTGTTGGAGAGGGTCAAGCAGCAGAACTTGGCCCCTCTGAGATACGTGGACGATCAAGGAGGCATTACTCAGGCGTATCCAGACAATCCAAATGGATCTGAGCAAGGAATTGCAGGGCTCTGTTCACAAAACGGCCGACACTTGGCCCTCATGCCTCACCCGGAGAGAACTGTCTTGAAGTGGCAATGGGGTTTCCTTCCCAAGGAAAATGACGATGAATGGGAGGCCTCACCGTGGCTCAAGATGTTCCAAAACGCTTACGAATGGGCAATGTCGACCGAAAAGGCCGAGTCAACTGAGGCGACTGGTTCCAACTAACTTTTCAACGTCATCTTCGATGCTTAGTGTGTCTTGTTTCGCGATACCATCGCATCCTGCTAGGCTGTTTCAGTAAATGTGACATCTGGACCAGCGCCGTAGAGGAAGGAGCGTTGCAGCACACAAGCACTTCGTAGACCAAAATTCATCTAGCAAGGGAGCCATATAGAAGCCGAAAGAGCATCACCAGCAATTCATCTCTAGAATAAGTCTTATGGCCTATAGCGTATAGCCACGATTGCATATGCAGTTGAGGCTCCCGTACGGCATGCATGTATCACGTCCTCTCGCGATAGCACCACTCCCGCATCATCGAGTGTCGTCTCAGATATCCCTTTAGGCTCCCTTAAGGCATGCATGAATTACATCCTCTCTCGATAGCACCATTTTCCCCCATCATCGAATACTGTCCCAGATATCTCTATGAGTCGCCCGCATGAGCCCCAAAATTCGATGCAAATACACGCGACTCAGTTAAAGCAGGACCCCAGAAAACGTTTGCTACTTTTGTCGTTTACGACAGGTTTTTTAAACACAGTAAATTGTTTGGGAATGACCCTTTCGCGCAGCGTCTTCGGCGCGGGACTCATAAAGTCAATGTATGAGTCTGTGTAGAAGGATATGGGAGGCACATGTGAAGGGGCAATGCCCCAAAATCCAGGTTGAAGAAGGACACTGAATTCATTTTGGGTTGACGCTTGCTTTTTTCTCTGGAAAAGCTTCCGTTTCCTCTCGGACGACGGTGAAGTGCTAGCTTTTTGTGCTTCCGTGGAGCGAGTTGTTCCTCGTGAGATCCAAGAAAATTTAAACATTGTTTGGCTTCTGCTGGTACAACAGAGGAAAGTGAAGAAGATACAGAAGCTAGCGAAAAAGGGGCAGACCTTCCACCAACAGTGGGGGTGCATGGCGACGCTTTTTAACTCGGGTCGACGCAAGTGTGAGGCTGCGAGTGAAACGCATGACTTGAAGGTGCCGTCTTCATTGTTAGCAAAGAAGAGGGATTACTGACCGCGGGAGTTTTCGTGTGTTGCCATCGTCCACAGATTTTCAAGATTATTTCTAAAAGAATCTCAACCTGCAGAAGTCCCTCGGTTTATCCCTCGGCCTGTCAGTCAGAAGGTTTATGTTCCATAGAAAGTGAAATTGCACTAGAGTAGAGAGTAAAGTAAAACCGAAGGCGCACAACTCTCCCGGCCCAGAATTTTCCAAACACATCAGCAAGCATGTGATGTTTGACAAGAAAGAAGGCTTCACCCTCAACGTGTTTGGTGCTCACGCCCGACTTTACATAATGAACATCCAGTCTCGCATTTACGCACCATGTGGTTGGTTGCTTGTATTCACAATTTATCAACACTAAAGACATAGAGAATGACTGTACGAGTACAAGACCCGCTTCTCTTCGAGTCTGACCCTCTCTTGTACTCGCCGCAAAACAAAAAAGCCAAGACGGACCTATAAGCGGCAATGAGAGGTGAAAATAGGCCTAGACAAAACATAGTGCATTTGTTCTGTTCTCCCAGCCTCTGAAAACCTGTTGAGATAATGAGCTCAATAACAAAAAACGACATGTCAAGCCGCGAACAGCCGCTGCGAATGGAGGGCGGTGCAACCCTCCTCGCGGGAGCAGACGGAGTGCAACCGGGTAGATTGGCGTGAGCTCAACAACAAGAGCTCTTGGGGGAGTGACGATGGCGTGCACCGCAGGGCGGCACAAGATGAAGAAACCAAACAAAACACCGGCATCAAGCACCGGCGGAGGCCTTGTTCCCCCTCTTCGCGTTGGTCCCCCTCTTCGCGTTGGCGCCCTTCTTCTCCTTGGACTTGCGCTTAGCCAGCTTGTCCCTCTCTTCCCTCTCCTCGACCTCCTCCGCCCACCGATCAAACTGCTGCTTCCCCCTCTGCCTCCTGGCGAGGATCTGTGCGACAATGTCTGCGTCCGGGGCTGCACTCTTGCGCTTTTTCTTGCGCGGCGGGGCGGGTTCCGAGTCCGCGTGTGCGGGGGCCAAATCGCGCTTGGCGCGCTTGCCCTTCTTCAGCAGGGCCTTGCGGGCCATAGCGTAGGCCGGACCGGGTTCCAGCTCGTTGGCGGCGATGCGGGCGTCCCAGAACTCGACGAAGCGGCACAGGTCGGGCTGGTCGGAGTAGGGGATGTAGTCGAGGGCGCGGCGGACGTCGCCGTGGAAGCGGCGGAAGAAGGAGACGAGGTCCTCGCGCTCGTCGTGGCCATGGCGGTACTCGGCCTCGTACTTGCGGATGTCGTCGGGGTCGAGGCGGGCGGCGGCGCGGGCGAAGAAGGCGGCGGCGGCGTCGGGGTCGACGGCGGAGTCGCCGCCGTGCAGCGTGCCCGTGTCGCCGCAGGCGTCGTACTCCTCGCGGCGCTGCGGGTCCAGCAGCAGGTCATGCACGGCGCGCAGGTGGGTGAAGAAGGAGGTGGCTTCGGGGGAGTCGCCCGCGCGGTCCGGGTGGTGCTTGAGGGCCAGCAGGCGGAAGGCCTTGCGGATGGCGGAGGGGGCCGCGTCCGGCGCGACGCCCAGGAGGTCGTAGTAGGCGGTTTCTTTGGGCGGCATGTTGAGGGGTGGGGTGGTTTTGGTTTTGGTCTTCGTGTTGGGTTGGTGAGGAGGGAGAGGGGAGGAGGGGAGGAGGGGAGGAGGGGAAGAGGGGAGGAGGGGCGGAGGGGAAGAGGGGCGCGGGAGGCGGGAAGGAGAAAATAAGAAGTCAAGGTTCCCGCCAGGGACGAGGGGAGGAGGGGGTGGAGAGAGAATGACAAGTCAAGGTTCCCGCCAAATTGGCGGGGCATAGAGCGGGCTTCACACGTGTCCACGACTGAGTAGGTGTGGGTGGTGGCTGCGAAGCGGGTACCTCTCAGAGAGGGCTTCACACGTGTCCACGACTGAGTAGGTGTGGGTGGTGGCTGTGAAGCGGCTGTCTCTCAGTCTGATAGACAACGACTATCATAAAGCCTCTCTGAGAGTCTCAGAGAGGCTTTAGTCACATCTTGGGCTTTAGTCGTTGAGGCGACGCGTCGGGCTGCGATAGGCTGTGCGCGTGCCATGTGTACACGTTCAATTACGCAATTCAGAGGAAAAGGAAGGGTCTTTGGAAAAGGAAGACGAACGGCAGGCCCTTGGTCAACGAACGAATCAACGAACGACGGGCGGCACTCCAGACGGCGCCCCTCGTAATAAAGTGAGGTGATCTACCCTTGGGTAGGGAATGAAATTCTGCCACTCGGCCGCATCTCTGGCGATCAGAGGCGACGAAAAGTGATAAATGCGCACCTCTGATCAAGGAGGGGGCCTCTCAACAGTGCCAAAAATGCCGTACAATCTTGTCAAAAACCTGTGATTTTGACCTCGTTAAAAGCAATACAATCCTAGTATGATAAACGCCTGAAGACGTCTTCAATTGTTTCAATTAGAGCATCTCCACTGGCGAGGGTCTATGGGATATAATGTATTTGTCCAAAATGCCAGGTGGAGAATTACAACTGGCTCCCAGTCAAAAATTAGACCGCACTCGGCCGCGGGTCTATGCTATTGATAGATGGAGCTAAAAAGGGACCCCTCTCCACCAGTGACGGTCTAATGGTCTATCTTCTGCTCTCGCACGCCTGCCCCCCCCCCTCCCTTCGTAATTCCCCCGCCCCTCTCTCTAACTGCCAGTTTCGTATTTCTACAGAACGACTATGAACTTCCACTTAGACGAACTCGTGCATGACAGTGACGACGACATTGTCGATACTGTCGCAATTATTGTAGCACATGATAAGCTTAACGAAGAGAATGACGGAAAGCACGGCGGATCCCGTCCTGGACGTAGTCCAAACGTCTTGCAAGAATTTTCGAGTGGGCATCGCCGCATAATGCTGGATTACTTTTGAGACAAGCGGAGCATGACGGATGATGGATCGGGAGAGTGGGGTCCTGTTTACAGTGCTGGCCTCTTCGAAAGAAGGTTCAGAATGCCGAAAGAGCTTTTTCTCCGCGTGTACAACGGTGTAATGGAGAAAAACACCTACATACGACTGGGGATTAATTCGGACTGTACAGGACGAAAAGGAATCCATCCGCTGCAAAAGGTTGTTGCTTCCATGAGGCAGCTGTCCTACGGCATTCCAGGTGACACTGTGGATGAGTACTGTAGAATGAGTGAGACTACCGCTCTGAAGTCGCTCCGAGAGTTTTGCCGGGGTGTGGTTTCTGCATTTGGAATTGAATACCTGCGCGCGCCGACGCAAGAAGACCTTCAGCGCATTGAAGCGCGATTTGCACAAGTAGGATTTCCGGGCTGTATGGGATGTGTGGACTGTGCAGGGTGGGATTGGAAAAATGCACCAAAGGCACATCAAGGTCATAACGTAGAAAAAGAAAAAGTCTCTACACTACGAATGGAAGTTATTTGCGATTTGGATCTTTGGATATGGCATTATGCCTTTGGGTACCCTGAAAGCATGAACGACATCAACATCCTTGATGTCAGCCCGCACTTTGCAGAGGTTTTAAGCGAAGTCTACCCTCCTTTCCGCGTGGAAAGTGTATTTGCAGAAAAAAGGTTTGACTGGTTCTATTACTTGGCTGACGGAATATATCCGAACTACAAGGTTTTTGTCAAGACTTTGCCGGAGACACAAAATCCGCAAAAGCAAATGTTTCGAGTGCGACAAGAGGCAGTTCGCCAAGCAATAGAACGGGTTTTTGGGGTCCTGTTCGCTCGCTGGAATATTTTATATTCCCCCGGGAGGCTCTGGAGCTCAAGTGATATGGAGAAAATTGTCTCTGCCTGTGTCATACTTCACAATATGATCGTCGAAGAGCGCAGAGGAGGGTTTTCTGGCGATGTGACCGGAGGTGTGAGGATATCTGATGCGGAGATTTACGCTCTGATAGCTGCCGACTCTAGGTCCATCATTGTGCCAATTGCCTATGGTGAGAACGACGGTACAGGGTGCTTTTCGTCTGCAGTTAGAATTGGGTCGACAGGGCACGATCGTGAGGATTATGCCAAGCATGTGGCGCTCACAAAAGCCTTAATCACGCATATTTGGCAATCTTACGCCAATACGGAACCTGAATGACCGTCTTGCACAGGGATTGGGTTTCTCTGATTGACACAGTTTCAATTACGTCGCACTCTCTACCACCTCTAAAATCACAGGGCGCTGTATGCTGCAACCGAAAATATTAGAGCTCCCGTAGGACGTTCCTGGAGCAGGCCGAGACCGGCCCGTCGGATCCCCCTCCACATAGTACAGTACCCTTGGTAATGTACAACGCAGTATATATGAGCGTGTTCGTCTCTCTTATCACAGAGCAAAGTAAGACAGAACACGACCTGGGGATAAGTCGCAGCAGTTAGAACTTGCAAAAGCTTTAATGTATGTCACAAAAATGTGACTCTCCCTCAGTGACCGCAATGTGTGTGTGGTACAATTGCCAAGTGGCGCTACTGCACTAGGCGGGCGCCAGAGGCCTCGCCAAGTACAGTAGTAAGATGTTAACCGATACGGTGCATACGTGGCCAGCACGTGTAGATGTGGCCACGTGGGAGTCCACGTGTAGTTAGTGGCACCAGCTAGTGCAGGTGTACACGTGGTGCGCGACCGATCGGTGGGTTAGTACAGTAGTCATTTTTAGTTACCGTAAGCTACAGTAAGCTGGCTACAGTATGTACAGCTACTGTAGTCCGTCCGGTGCCACCGCCCTACTAGGGGGTATAAGATAGGGGGGCACCGGGCTGGAGGTAAACCGAGGCAAGCACGCCTCCCCTTACTTCCTACCCTAGTCCTTTACCGTACGGTTAAGTAAGTCCCTCAGGTTTCCAGCTCGCCACCGGTCGTACTGCTCTACACCCCAGTACGACTGCGCGTGTCCAGTGCGATGTACCTCCCTTGTCCTGTGCTTCCTACCGTTCCGGATTATTCTACCTGACGCTCCAGTGTAGCGGTCCCCCAAGCTCCCTCATTTTAGGTACAGCCTGTCCTTTTCCGTTTACGGTTTAGCGTCCCTACGGTTGTACCACATTTTTGGTACTCTTGTGGAGGGACGCCTGGGGTTTCTAGACCCTCACCGTCGAGCTCAGGAAAGAAGACATCCGATTCGGTACGTGGACAAGTTGAAAAACACGTATCAACCCCCGGTTCAAGCAAGAAGTCAAGATGAATCCGACCGGAACCCCTGCAGAAGACTGCGGTTCGGGACGGGGCAGTACTCGCTCCGGCTCAGCCCGGGCGAGTACGCGCAGTGGACCACCCGGGTCCGTGCGCCCCCGTGTCGAAAACCCGGAGTCACTGCTACGGGTGACAGCCGGTACAGGGCAGAACCCAACCAATACGGAGGTGACGGCCCCTGGGGCCGTCCCGGCCCTCGCTGGTCGAGCGGGTACCGAACACCGCTCCCAGTGGGCATTAAATACCCTCTGGCCGCGCATGCAGACGTGGCTGGAGGAAGCTCTCGTTAAAGAGGTTCCTCGCCACGTCGAGGGTGCGATTAACCGAACGGTTCCGCCGCTTGTTGACGAGCAAGTCCGGGCCGTCGTCACGCCCGTCATCGACGACGTCGTGGGTGCCCTCGTAGAGCGTGAGCTCCGAGAGGCACTCGACCCTGGAGATCATCTTACACCGTTGGGGCTGAGCCTCCAGACAGCTATCAACATAGCTGTCGAGGCTCGCCTCGCCAACTTCAATCCGAACGGTACTGTAGCTGAGGCACCTCAACCTCCTACAACCGCTACGGCACCTCTCAAAT